GATGATACCTTGCTCTGATGATGTTCGTCATGTGACGTACGAAAGTTTAGCACCTTTTCACCGGAATCGAGTGAGATTGCCTCGGAAACAGCGTTAGCATGAATCTTTAAATAAAACCAATCGACAGCTGGTCAAGAGGAATCGGCCGTCGTCTTCTGGTGGAACCGACCTTTGAATTTCTTCACGCCGCACTTTTACTCGAAATGGACGTAAGCTGAACAATTATGAAACCAAAGATTCCTCGAAACCCAACTTTTCTTCAATCGACAACTACCAGTCAATCCTACTCACAGTCCATGGAAGTCAATTTAGTAATCATTTAAAAGCAATGCCTTTTCAAACGAATTGCAAGCTCCGTCAAAATTAGTCTGTCAACCCAGCAACTTTGCTGGTTGGAGATGGTGAAGCAAAAAGCTTTCGGTGATGATGTAGTTGAATAGGATGCCAGTCTTGATGCCTTTGCTGCTGGTGATGGTGAGAGTCATGTTGATGCCAATGCTGATGATGATAGTTTACGTATGAGCGAGTGTTATGCTAATATTGATGCTGATGTTGATGCTGATAGTCTTGTTAATGTTGAGTGTGAATGTGATGATAAGTGTGAGGCTGATTCTGATGCTGATGGTGAGCTTGAAGGTGAAAGTGAAGGTAGTGCTGATGCTGATGTTAATGATTTTGGTGATGGTGATGTTGATTGTCATGATGATGCCAACACTGATGGTTTTAGCATTCGTGAGCTGGATGATGATTATGATGATACTAATACTTCTAGCATGGGTAAATGTTATTCCAATATTGATGCTGATGTTGATGCTGATGGTCTCGTTGATGTTCAGTGTGAATGTGATGGTGTGTCTGAGTGTGATGATGATGTATGTAAGGGTAAGTGTGAGGATGATACCGATGCTGATGGTGAGCTTGGGGGTGAAAATAAAAGTGATGCCGATGCTGATGTTAATGATTTTGGTGCTGGTGATGTTGATTGTTATGGTGATGCCAACACTGATGGTTTTAGCATTCGTGAGATGGATGATGATTATGATGATACTGATACTTCTAGCATGGGTGAATGTTATTCTAATATTGATGCTGATGCTGATGGCTTTGTTGATAGTGCGTGTGAGGGTGAGGGTGAGGGTGAGGGTAAGGTTGACGTCTTTGTCGAATTGCGAACACGAGGCTGCGCCACTTATCCGATAAAATAACCCATTTCGATAACACTTTACTTGAGCCCACTTCTGATGCCACTTGATAGGTCAACCAATGTGGGCGAAATTTCCTAAACTTTCGGTACGTCCTGTGAGATTGTCGTGTATCCCCCAGATGCGGTGTACTGCTGGTCCACTGTTTGCCCATCAATTGTGCGTCGAAATTGGCATTAAAACAACACACGATTGCCCCCTCCACCCCATCCCCTGCCCAAATGACCAGCCGGCCTTAGCAACCGGCCAACTCGTCTGATCGGTACCCTGTTTGGCCCTCAGCCTCGGTCCGGCTGCGCGACTAACTCACTTTAAGAGGGCACGAATCACGCGATCACCATCCAGACCCGACCAACCAAATCGAGCCATGTCGACTGCCGCCCAACCTTTTTTCTGCATTCACACACCCACACACCCACACAGCCGAGCTCGCTGATAACCGGTACGGATTACCGCTTCGTCAAGTGGTACAGCATCGTCCCAACGGCGTCTGTCTGGCAAGCTCGCATTTCGCCGGCTCAAGGGTTGCCCAAGTCTGGACATATTTGTGTAACTAGGGCGAGAGAGAGAGAGACAGAAGTTGAAAGGTAATCAGCATGGGCAGCCAACGCATGCATGCATACAGGAAAAGCACACATAAATATACACGCAAGCATGCGCCAAGACGTACACACTCAAGCATAAACACACAACGACCATGTGGGCTGGTGTCATTCGAGGTGATGAAGAGGGTAGGCAGCAAGTGGGCCTAGTTCGAGACCCTCGGCCTTGGGGTTCCTGCAGAGACAGACTTTCCCGAAGAGAATATGAAGAAAATTTTGGTTTTGCAGAATCTCGCAATAGATGGACGATCGGCGTACCTTTCATGTTGTAGGGAAGGAGAAAAAATGGGGAAAATGCTCAAATTGGCCAGACCGGATCGCCTCGGAGTTGTTTGTGACCGCAGATTGGTACCAACGCGAGTCCTCAACCCACCGTCCTGCCGACTCGACGACATCGAAAGCGCCGACTTCTTCCACAATTGTGAGCGTTTCGATGACTTCGAAGGTTGCCTCTTCGACTGGTTCCACCGTTCTGATTGGCTTGACGACTTTGATGCTATCAACAGTTTCCACTTTTGTTGCGTTGACTTCCGTTGCGAGTGGAAGTGTGCGGTGAAGGTCGATTGAACCAGAAGACGACGGCCGATTCCTCTCGAGCAACTGTCGATTGGCTTTACTGGAACTTTCATGTAACGGCTTTCGTCCGTCACATGACGAGCATAATCAGAGCAATTATGAAACAAGCCATGACTCAAATCCCAACTTTTCTTCGCACTTTCAACATTTTCCACGTCTTGGACGATTTCGAAGAATACTACGTCCTCGAGTCGTCCAACGGTTTTGATTGTCTTGACGACCACAAAGACGTTTGTCATGCCAACGGACTCAGAAACTTCTGGTGCTTTGACGAGTTCGACGACTACGAAGAAGTCCCTACCGCAGTTTCGATTGTTGGTATCATTTCACCGGTTCCGACCGCTTCAATGGCTTCCACATCTCCAAAGTTTGCCGCAACCACTTGATCAGTTTCTGCCATTTCGACGCCGACTAGTTTTTCGTCGCGATCCAAGCTCTGCCAAGGTCCGAATTGCTGCCACGAAACGAACGAGGTTCTACAGTTGGACTCGGAGGAGGCAACACAGGTTGGCATGGCGACCAGTCGGAAGGATCAGTTCCGTCCAATCCGGTCCAGCATACCTTTTTCGCTTGTCTTCTTTCACTTACTCGCTACAAATAGCTCACTTGCCTTTCGAGTGTGTAAGTGTGCGTGATGAAGTGATTAGAAGGTCGCTCCTACCAGAAGACAAACAGTTGACTCTGTCTCCGGGTCAATCTCTTTTGGTACTTTGCTGAATTGTTGAGCTCTCTTCCATTTCGAGTGAAAGTGTGGCGTGAAGAGATTCGAAGTTCGGTTCCATCAGAACACGACCAGCGACGGATTCCTCTTGACCATCTGTCGATTGGCTTTACTGGAACATTCATGCTGACGTTGTTTCCGAGGCAACCTCCTTTGATTCCGGTGACAAGGTGCTAAACTATCGTCATCAGAGCAAGGTATCATCGTCACTACCAAACCCAAGCTAACGAGTCAAGAAAACTCATCAGAAAATCCCTAAAAAATGGTACACATACTCTACATCTGGCCTCTTTGATCAAGTTTAAAGTGATTTAGTTAATTACCGTCATATGTCAACTTCGATGCATGTGAGTGTGTCTGTTTCTGTATGTTTTCTTGACTCGTTAGCTTGAGTTTGGTAGTGACGATGATACCTTCTCTGATGATGTTCGTCATTTGACGGACGAAAGTCTAGCACCTTTTCACCGGAATCGAAGGATATTGCCTCGGAAACAGCGTCAGCATGCATGTTCCAGTAAAGCCAATCGACAGCTGGTCAAGAGGAATGCACCGTCGTCTTCTGGTGGAACCGAACTTCGAATCTCTTCACGCCACACTTTCACTCGAAATGGAAGTAAGCTCAACAATTATGGAACAAGATAGTCCTCGAAACCCAAATTTTTTTCCTCGTGTACTTCGCTGA